ATACTTAAAAAAAAAAAAAAAAAAAAAAAAAAAAAAAAAAAAAAAAAAAAAAAATCACGGTACAACTGTGAGACAAGCCAACTGGTGATTTTTCTAAATTGTTTGAAATATTATAATAACGTCCTTTAAACTGCCATTGTCTTTTCATTTATCCACCAAATTACCTACATGGATATTTTAAAGTTCTTTTAATGATGTAGAAACATAGCTTGACTAGAAATAAAATGGACATATGCAACATGACCAGATATGCCCAGAAAATTGAATTATTACTCAAATGCTAAGAGAAATTGTTATAGAGGAATATACGGTCATGAATTAGTCTATTTTTTCAATTATAGATTTGTTAGAAAGTTGTAAAAGACAGTAAAGACCAAATCATCAAATTTAGTTAAAAAGTCATGGATCTTAAAAAGCAGAATGAACTTGAAATTTTAAATGTATTAAATAGAGTAGTTGTACAAAGTTTTATAGACACTGAAAACTATGATGAAGTAGTGTTCACTAAAAGTTGTTTTCCATTAATAAAGACCTGTATAGTGAACCCTTACCAATACTTATTACTTTCATTTTAAATTATTTTTCTTTTGAGAAAATACTTGCAAAGTAAACTTGTCTTTCTTACCGAACATTTGTTCTACTAGCACTACTGTAGTTGCTGCCAAATATTTTAGAAATAGTTTAAAGTATATTTCACCATTCAACATCTGTTTCTTCTCTAATTTTTTAAAACATGGAAATAGCTGTTGATAAGGGAAACTTCTTTAAAATGCCAGACTTCATTGTATAAATATGAATTATGACAAACAGCTATAGCTTTAGGCTGAAAACAACTAATTTATGACACTGAAAAAAGTACATGTTAGTATGTACATTTTGTAGACTGAATACATTGCCTTTTTCTAATATTTTAGAGCTAGCAGTAAGAACTATGCTTTAAAAAGTGCTACTCAAATTATTTTTTGGCTAAAATATTTGCAACTGAATTATAACAAGATTACTCTTTGAAATTAGAATATGTGTTGATTTTGGAGCTTTTGAATATCCATTAGGTATTTCTTCAGAATCTATCATTGTTCCACACCCCAAGCTGCTTGCTGTATTGTGGTTATTGTGAGGCAGGTGGCAGAACCACTGAACTAAATACCCAGCATAAAAAATAACAAATCTTAACATTTGTGTGTGTATTTGTATGTTCATGAGATGACATGTATAAAAATATTCATAGTAGAACTATTCTGAATAGCCAAAACCTAGCAGCCAATCAGATGTGTATCAACAACTTAATAGATAAATATATGTGTGGTTGTGATCAGATAACAATGACAAAAAGTGATAGATAATTACACTCAATTATACAAAAGTCTTTCAAGTATAATGTTAAACTAAAGAAGTCAGTATTATATTACTGTTTCATGCTATAAGCTTTTAGTTAATTTTCAATATTTATGTAGTAATTTATAGAAAATTAATCTTTGGTATTATCAGAATGGTGATTAACAAGAGGGAGTGGAAGAGATGATTCCAATTGGAAGTAGGTACAGGGGGAGTCTTCTGGCTTGCTAGTGAGATCCTGTTTCTTAGGTCCTACTTACATAGGTCTGTTTAGATTGAGAAAAGTTATCATGTCCACTGTATACTAATGTTATGCATTTTTGTAGGTACACTGAACTTCAGTAAAAAATTTTCAAAGTCTTGTCACTTTGTGGTACCTCTGAGAAAAATAATATTAACCTATATTAAATGAAAAATGGGAGATAACAGCAGGGAAATGGGAGTAGTAGTGCCAAGGAAGCCAACAAAGAAATACATAAAAGAACTTTCTTATAAGATGACTGCCTGTCTCCTCATAAGGAAAAGAAAGAAAACTAAGACTAAAATCTAATCAAAAATCTTAGAGAACATAAAAGATGTTAAATGTTTAATGTTTAAAACATTAAAGATCAAAACAAAAAACAAATTATAAAGTTTCTCTTCTAATGAGAAACTATCAAAGATCAATGCAACTCAAAAAAATATACATAAATATGTATATATATGGATTTCTTAACTAATCTTTAAAAACTAATAATGCTAGTTCTCTATCTCATACCATATAATCTCCCAAAAATCTCACTTGTCCTTCCAATATAATGAAGATAGATGAAATATGAGAGAATATAGATACAATATAAGTAAGGAGTATTTTTTTAAAAAACAAGAAAGTTTAATTTTGAGGCATAAATAACAATTCTAAGTAATTCAAATATAAGTTCTTCAACTTCTCATAATCTCTTCTAAATTAGATACTGAGTTTCAGAGATTTTCTGATTTTGTTTTTATTTTTTCAATTTCTATGTTGTTGAGCCATTTTGTTTTGTTTTGCTTTGTTCTTGTAAGATTTCACTGGTAGAACAACCACTGAGTTAAATTACTTGGGTATGAGAGCTACTGGGTATTCCTTCTGGCTTCTGTGCACAGATTCTGGAGTTAAAATGCTCAGATTTAATTTCCAGCTTTCTATTAATAAGCTGTATGACATTGGAAAAATTAACTATTCTTTTTATGGATTCATGTCTTTCACTGGAAAACTCAGATCCACAGTCTTATTGTGAAACTAAATATCATTGATGCAGTAGAACTACTTAATAAATGGCATCTGTAGTTATATCTACATCTTCCAGCTTTTACTCTACTACAGATTAAATTTGTAAAGCATGAATTTTGGCATCACATTCCCAAGAACTCAGCCCACAAAAGTCGTTCGAGTAGCAAGACCCAATACCATAAAAATGCCAAGAAAATGGAAGAATAGGAAGCTTGGGCCCTCCTTCCTCCCATAGAAATACCAATTCAACACCAGTACATAGACCAAGTTAATGGATGAGAACTACAAATAACAGGAGAGTGCAAAATCAGCGACAATGAAAGAGGCAATAAAAGTTGTAGTACGCTCTCACCGTAGTCCTGACTGGCATGGCACCATGTCATTGGGAGGAAACTGCCAATTCCTGGCTTCTCAATGGTAAGGCAAATGTGAGACTGGACCGTACAACCACTCTTGTGAATTACTGGAGTTTACTGAGAACACAGAAAAGCTGGACTATGTGCAGCTGTTCCAAGGGACACACGTTACAGTGGACAGAACACATGCTAGCGTCCTTTCCCTAGTGAAGAGAAAGGAAAAATGGAACACATATCCCACAGTCCATCTTTTGGGAGGAATATCCATGGAACTGATTTATGTCTTAAATTTCTGTTAGTGTAGATCAAATCTAACATATTCTAGATGCTTAAGAGTCCAACAGAAATAGAAAAGATCCAAGTGGCAGGCTTTTCAAGACTTGCCTCATACAAATAGATATCAAAGAGGTCAAGGCCAGAAACTCTTAAAAAGAAAAAGGAAACCAGAAAAACCCTCTAATTAGAAATCTATGTGCATAAGCCCAAAGAAGACACAGCCACAGAAAGATTTTGAGTTTTTGTTTTGTTTTGGGTTCTAGGGATCGAACACAAGACCTGGCACTTGAGAGGTAGGCAAAGTGCCACTGAGCTAAATACCTGGCCCCACAGAAAGAATTTGAGAGGCTCCCAGAACTTCTGCCTGGACTGATTGGCAACAGTCTTCTCTTGAAGGCTAGATCATTAAGACTGGCAGAGGTGGTCGTTCATTAAATGTACAGATACCAAAATAAAGCTATGAGTGACATGAAGAAACAGGGAAATGATAAAATCAAAACAAAAAAATAAATCTCTACAAACCAGTGATAAAGAAATGGAGGCATAATGAATTACCTGACAAATAATTCAAAATAAACTTTATTAAAATACTCAGTGAGTTCAGGAAATTCATGCATTAGAAAGTAACAAAATGGCAAAAGTAAGTCCTTCCCTATCATTAATTACTATAAATATAAATGGATAAAATTCTCCAATCAAAAGATACAGATGGCTTAATGGGTTAAAATATAAAAATGATACTATTTTATGTGGTCTCCAAAAGACCCACTTTCTTTTTTAATTAATTTTATTGTTTCATTTAAGGTATACAATATAATGACATTCATCACTGGAAATCCATCTTGGTTCTTATTTTTTCCCCATTCCCCTGCCTTCCTTTCAATCCCTCCACCCCTCCCAA